GCAGGGCAGCTGTGTCGCTGATGCCAGCTTATCTTTACACGATCATCAGCTGTTTGTAAAGTTATGTTCTTAAAACAAAGTGTAGGTGCCTTGACACTGAATGTTTTTTAGGACATTAAGATTCGCAGGTACTTCCTTCTATCTCCCTCTTATTATTCTTTATTTCATAGGTCATCATGGTTCTACGGCAGCGAAGCATCCGTTCAAATAGCTGATGCAATGCTGTTGTTGATGGTTGATTGATTGACCTGGTAGGCCTATGTTGTCCAGCGTAACCTCTGTACCTAATTAGTGCGCGAGGACAATGTAGCTTACTAACATGCCTTAGCCACACGATTAACTTCAAATCCCACTCTTCTGTACAAGCATGTGAACAGCCTGCGCAAGCTGAAAAGTGGATTTCCACCTCTTCAACCAGCGGATGGCCTAACTCAGACTGTAAAAGAAGCGTTGAACGTTCTGCAACAGCAATATACACCAACGTTTCATTGCATCCCGTGATTTCCTGAAACGTTATAAACTATGATGCTCCTACCAGGACTCATAAATTTTACGGCAAACATAGTAATGAGAAAGCTGCTATCATTTAGCCTGCACGCCTGTCCAGGAATTGATGACATCCGACTAAGACCCTAGTTGTGGGGGCTAAAGTTTTGGCTTAAGACTTGGCGTAACTATTCCAGCATTACCTTGAAGAGAGGCACTTTCCTTCAATGTGGAAACACGGAATAATAGTTCCCGGGGGGTTGTCGATACCAGCCAACTAATTATCGACCAGTGACTCTTATGCCAGTTCTTTCAAAAGTTTTGGAGGCTATTGTTGTTGATGCACCCCAGTCTTATCTGGTCGATGTTGCAACACGGCTTTCGCCAGAATCAGTCGTGCACTAACAACCTATTGTTAGCGCCACCGAAACGGTGGATGCTGATGCAGGAGTCGATGTGTCATGCCCTGATTTTCGTAAGACATTTGACCGCTTGGATTCTCATATCCTTCTTGCCAAACTCCAAAGATGGGGCAATGGAGACCCCCTCCTCGAGTGGAACTGCAATTTTCTCTCACAGGCGTCTGGAGGTGAGAGTATGTGAATCAATGTCAGACCAAAGTCATGTCTAATGCGGTGTGTCACAGGGTTCGGTAATGGGGCCTCGTCTATTCCTAGTCTTCAAAAACCATTTGGTAAACCAAAGTAAGTAAACAGTTAACTCTACGCCAATGATATCAAAATTTGGCGAGTTATCAGAGGTTCAGAAAACCGTAATCACATTCAAAAGGACCTTGACAAAATTTATGGATGGGCGGTTCAAAATCTCCTTCTATTCAATGTAGCTAAATCTCGAGTGCTCCATTTACGACACCTAATGGTGCACACATTTAAGCTGAGGGACCAGGATCTGCAACACTGTTCTCTTGAAAAGGATATCGGTATGTTGGTCCGGGAAGATTTCGGCTGTTCGGAGTAGTCCAAAAAAGCATCCAAGAAGGGGATCCACATGGTGTGGATTTTACGGTGAGCTTTCGGGCAATTCGAACCGTCGATTTTCCGCCCAGTACTTTCCACTAACACACGCCCTCATGTTGAATATGCAATTCAGGCTTGGCACCCATGGCTAACGCCAGATCTCACGTTCTTAGAGATTCCACAACATCGGGCGACCAAAATTCTCAAGGGGCTGCGCCACTTGTCATAAAAACAGCGCCTCAGAATGCTTGATATTTTCAGTGGACCTTATCGCCGGTTGCTTGATGACCTAACCATGGTCTACCAAATATTAAACAACACTAATCACCCCTTCCATCACCTATCGAAGCTGAGTCATAACAGCCATCTGAGAGGTCATCATCTCAAATTGTTTGAATAATACAGTTGGTTGGAGTGTCGGAGAAACTACTTCTCGCTGCGTGCTTGCCACAGGTGGAATACTCTCTCAGAAGCTGTTATTTCACCTCTCCCCCCACGTTAGCTGCGTTCAAAGCACGTGCCGACAGTGCACTGACCACACTACACCATATCACACAATCCGAACGACCCAAACTAACAACAGAAAAACAAAAAGAAATTAACCCACCTCATTTTTGTCCGGAAACCACAAACGATAACTTGGATAATACATAAAACGGACGGGGAAATCTGTAATTGGTAAGTTCGCAATTTGCAGTTGTTCACTTTTTCCTATTGCCATTTTTGCTTTATTTTGCTTACCCCTAAACGATCATCCGGCGCAACATGTCAAGTTTCGGCTTTTTTCTCCACAATATAGGATTGACCATTGACCATATATGACAGCCAATACGGGGGAAATGTATGATTACATTCCAATAGCTCTAGTTAACGCAACTGTTTTGCATGGAAATGGCCATTGAAATAGCTACCACATCCTGCTCACACAATGAAAAACATGCCACCAAAATTTGCGCTTTGAAAGCCGAACTAAGACTATAGTGTGGGTTTTTAAATGCAAACGCTGAACTCTTAGTTATATGTGATGACGGTAAGATCTTCCTCTAGGGCTACCTACGGAAACTCGGAGAACTCAGAGAGAACTACTGAGTAGTCATCCTTGAAACCTTGGTGTTCGTGTTGTTGAACAAATTATGTCCGCGAAACACAAGTTACTCTGTTGGATTTTAGTCAAAACATTCAAAAATTAGTAAAACGCTGGGTTCGTCGGGGCGGAATGTCTCTAGTTCCATCGACACCGTTAGTTTCAACAAGAAATGTGGCCTCATATTTGATACGGCATAGGTTATTTTGCGCATTGAAATCCGAGTCTTTCTTTGAGGTCCTCTGTACCGATCTTTTTGCACATAGGTTCTCTAGCACACATACGGCAGAATCATGAGCTTGATTAAGGGCCGAGGAGTGACCGAGCGGATACATTGTGCGAACGAGAGAAAGTACGATAGGAAAGTGATGTTTAGTCTTAACTATTAGTGCGTTTTATTTCAATCAGCCCCGTAACGGACAACTTGACTCCAAGCATTTGGAGAATGTCAGATGGGGCAGAGGGAGACATTTGTCAAGTAATGGCCAACAAGAGCTGAGGATAGCTGCAAGCTTATTTGTTTAACAAAGAGCAGCGGAGCGATCTTTTGAAGTACCACATCTAATAATGCAACAAAAAAGCATCCCAAGGATGGTGTAAAGTTCAGATAGAAAATTAAGTCTTTCTCGTACTGGATTATCTACATAAGGACATAGTATTCCTATTCCCAAGCACTTCTCCTATTCTCATGCAAAATTTTACACGTCTACTTTGGACATCTGCATTATTAGATACAAACAATTTTGCTTCACACTAATGGAATTTCCATAACTACGAATCTAAAATCTATTTCACTTTGACGGACTGCTAACTAGCAAACTGCTAAGCTGTATCATTTCCGCATGGGTTCTTGTGTGTTCGCTCTTTACGGTTACCAACCTACGTGCAATTTGTCTACTGTCTTCAATTTGAAGTAAGAACCACGGAAGCAGGAAGTTACTTTTATTGCTTCTATCCAGGCCGGGCGTAAATTTTACGTTCGTTGGTGTACATTTTTCCATTCCAGTCTCTTGCGATTTAACTAGTCTAGGCTTCATAGCATCGTTACAGATGACATCAAGTAGTCCGAAGAGTAGTATGTTATAGCTAAGTGGGAGCGCATGTTTGTCCTGATTCGCATAGTGTTAACGGAGTAAGTATCCTCCTTCTGCACCCCAGATGTGTACCTCCAGGTCAATCGCGTCTGGCTAACTAATGGTGACTAGATAGATATTTATTATCCGATTCTTGTTGTGCCGTTATGCCGTATTCTTATCCCCAGCTGTTGACAATCTCAACCTCCATTTGATTACTTTTGAACACATTTAATAGAGAGGCGGATAAAATCTGCTAGTAAACAAGTAGCTCGGAAAAGATGCAGGGCATCTTAGCCTCCATTCGGAACGACCTAAACAAGTGCTCGCGCTGGACACATCAGCGGACTTTGATTATGCTATAATGTTTACATCAGGATGACCGCCGCTGGTTTAAATGTGTCACCTCCTCTTTCATTAGACATTTAATGGGACAGTCAGTGAAATAATGACCATTCCTTCACTTTGTGTAGTTTGACTTCATTTGTGGGTAAAATGAATGCAAACTTAGTTGCTTTCGAAGTTCCTGCATTTGGTTTCCTAAAACATATGGTTCTAGAGGGAAGTAGGGTTTCTTAGAAGAGCCTTCGCAGCTAGACTCAGCCGGACAGCCATCACACATCCAAAAACGCGGTAGACAGTCGTTTCGTCCTATTGAGACTTGTCAGTCGCGAGCATTCGTCTGAGCCTGCCGGATCGGAATATAGCCTTACTCCCAATAGGTATAAACGGCCGTCTAGCACTGTCTCGGATGTGCATGGTTAGCTGGCTGAGTCTAACTGCGATGATTCTTTTTATAAAATAATCAAAACGGATCCCCCTAGTACTGTATAATAGTCCATAATCACCTCAACAGTTTACATGACACCTCGAGCGGAGACTGCTTGCAAAGGAAATCGTAGCTATAGATGTCACTCTTGTCCTTTGCATCTGCATGACATGCATGACAGTGTAAGATAGCCGCGCAATTACATATCAGTCATGGCGGTCCGCCGCCATGACCGATGTCTCAGTGGCATAAATCACTGGCTCGTAAGAGAAAGTCGTGGGTTCAGATCGGACAGGCTCTGCCAGATGCGTGCTACTGACGACTCCCAATAGGACGAAATGGCCGTCTACCGCCTTCCTAGATGTGTGATGGCTGTCTGGCTGAGTCCAATTATGACCAATATTCTCAAAAAATTAATTTCGAGAGTTACTTCCTGTCGGTGAAAAATTAGAAATTAGAAATTGCTATATGACTAATCTATTTAATCACAAAGTAATCATGAGTAGATTTATGCTGAATTAACATATCCAAGTCCAGTTTTCTTTTAAGACAGCTAATTGTTTGCGTGAAACATGTAACCACAAGCGGATACTGAGACGAAAATTACTTACCTAATATGTGAACTCGAACTGGATGTTGCACGGTCCCAAGGCTATTGTTGGCCTCACATATATACCTCGTTGGTTCTGTGATGTCCGCAACAAACAATACAGCGGCGCCTTCACTGAAATCCGTAATAGGGCTCTCGCGATCTGTTAACCACCGAGTCATGGGTACCGGGTTTCCTGTCGCCCTGCAAGTGAGGTTCGCTCCATGACCCGGGCGCACATGAATTTGGCCCGCTTTGTCAACGATGTTGGGTGCGGAGTGGGTGTCTGATCAGCAGCAGATAGTAAGTATACAACATAAATGCACAGAAACACGGCAACCAAATATATTCAGTTATTTACTAACGGTAAAAACGCTAAAGCTAGTATGGTGATAAATGAGTGCAAATTCGGTACAGTGTAAAGACAGAGAGGACTTAATATCTTCCATTAAAACCATTGTTTCGGAAACGTGGGAACCCTATAGTAAAACATGCGTGAATGACACTTAATCGCTTTTAATAAATATGACTAAGATGATTTAAATCATGTATATCAAGAGTTACTCGAATCTAGTAGGAAAAGTAGCAGAGGTAGCATGGACGCAAGCAATATAGTCCAGTTATGAATAGAAAGTCTATGCCAGGGGTCACCAAACTACCGCCAGCGACGTTAGCTCAACCGGCCAGCCAACGGTACCCGAATGTGGGCACCCAGATTAGCCACACACTCACACTTGCTCTGTGCTTATAGCGTCCGCACTAGGCACTTTCGATTGTTGTTTTTTTGCGTGACCACCTTTTGCGTGAGCACCTTCATACAATAACACCGTCGCACCAAATCCATATTCAGCCCCTTCGCGTCGCTTATCAATTTTGACAGCTTGAGCAATACTCAGCCAGTTACCCATTCACCGAGACCGCTCACACGGCTTTGCAGCACGGTAAGCTCGGTAGCGTTCGGCACTCAGACTGAACGTCTGCTTGAACCCATTCAACTGCTTGCCTGCTAGACTCACGTGACCCACACAGTCTTCTCGATGGTACGGGCACAACACAGTGCGTTCGGTGGCGCTTGCCACTACTTCAAGCGAAATGCGAGTAAGCCGCGTTTTGACCCAGTTAGGTGTATTAAGGCCTCATATGGCCACTAAGAAGAGGAAATTGGACACCCAATGTCGCGTTTGTAACAAAGAATAGGGAATAAGTTTTATTGAAACTATAGACCGGAAACCCAGTTGCGTCATATTGGGCGAAGGTGTTGCCGTTTTGAAACGGTACAATCGGCGTCATTATGAGACAAAACACCCACCAGAATAATGAAAATTTTCTTGGGAGCAACGCGGGGAAAAATAAATAGTTTATTCTCTTCAGTGCGAGGCACGCTATCAAAGGCATGATCATGGTAATACAGACACGTGTAATCAGCAGTTACATAAATTTTACCATTTAACCAGTAGCATAGGAGGGTTGTGTGGTTGGATTGCTACTCGCAATCTCAATGTGGATCGCGATCCACATTGAAGTGAACCTTGGTCACTGCGATCACTAGGACCGTAGCCGAAGCAGATGGAAGTTGGGTGTTGCGCGCCCGAAAACACTGCACAACCACGACGCTATTCGATGTCATTTCATCTCATCAGGTGAGGATGGCAGGCCTGGAACCAGTAACCATTGAAATGCTAGCCGAAACCTCTACCGTTGTGACAAGCGTTGATCGCTGTGCCCCGGGTGCCAAAGGTGTAGAGCTTTTAACTACTATTCCAATGGTCGCGGGTTGGAGGCCTGCTATCTCCACCTGATGAGATGAAATGACATCGAAACGCTTCGCGGTTGTGCAGTTTTTTCGAGAGGGCAACACCCAGCTTCCATCTGCAGTAGCATAGGAATTTACGTGTGTACATCGACATGTAAAAGTACGTGGTGTGCCCCATGCTGAGGCTGATTTTGCGTTCATAATGCTTCCCCACTGCAGTTGGGATAAACCAACTTACACGTAAGCTTGGTCTTTCAAGCTGCCACTTATTTGTTTTCTTCTGCCTATTTGAATAATCTTCTATTAACTGGCCACCTTGCTTACGCTAATTGTGGTTATCTTCGGCAACCTTATTGGGGTTGTAGCTTTTTTGAGTAACTTCTGGAAATTTGGTACTTACCGCGGACGCGTTGCTAGCCAATTTACTTCATAAGCTTATTTATTGAAGAGCTATGTCTGCATCGCCGTATTCGTTAACAGAAAGATTTTATTTGATAATGTCATTTCAAGTGGTTAGCTGTTGTTTGACATCCCCGGAGTGGCTGCGCTTGATGTGCATGTTGACAAGGTGCCTACCTGTCTATTACACACTGCCTCGTCCATACTAGCTTCAGGAGAAAGTTGGCCGTTGCTGGTGAGGACGAGGGTACACGGTCCTTGTGGCCGTGCTAGGCTCGAAGAGTGGTTCTATGCACTCAGCTTGGAGCGGACTACGGTCCAGCCACCGTCTTGTGTGCACTTGATTCCCCAAATTCATCGTGCTCGTTTTTTATCTGAAGGAGTGTGGGCCGGCTCCGTTGATAAAACTTGGCTCCCAACCGCAAACCTCCCGGTCTTATTCCTTTGGGTTTACGCTGGATATGGTGGGTGTGGATGGAGCTACGGCTGTTGCAGCGCTAGCCATCCATAGTTCATCTGTAAACACAGGCGTCCTGTGGCTGTCTCTGTGGAAGCCGCATTGACAGGCAAATCCAGAGCCGGATGTCGCCAACCATAAGCATGTGTAAGTATGTATATATAGGTAGCCATGTTGAGTGCGTTTGTAAACGTGACTCTGAATTTGTGATTTGGTTTGTTGGATTCGCCATTAAAGAAAGGGATCACAGGTACACTTCGAATTGGCTGACGTTAATGATGTGGGAATGATCTTCCGGAAAGGGAACAGGCATTGATTTTCTTTAGTGGCGAGTCACATCCGTCAAGTCACAATGTTTTAAAATGGACATCTGTGACTGCCAGAGGAAATCCCAACACGTCCTGGAACACTGACGTCGAAACAGCTGACACCACTTTGGAAACCGAAATAACTCATTGCACAAAATTTCTCTGAAATTGAAGCAGTTAAATTTTATTTTCACAACGCTCACCAGTTCATTTGCTGTTTGCTTGTTCTTTTCGGATGTGTGCACTTAACGGCTTGGTTAACTATCTTTTGCGTACGCCTTCCTTGCTGCTCATTTTTAGTTACTAATGCTCCTAATTATGTTTGTGTTTTATCGGTTGTTCACCACTCACACAAGTTTAATATGAAATGCTGAACTTAGTTTATTATTATATTTGCTCAGGACTTTCGTTCAGGTTTGCGGATATTGTACAGAAATCTAATCCAGTCCGTGGTCTTCATTTTATTGGCTATCCGGTCCCCCGTGACAAATATTTGGTGATCTGTGGACTATGCAATCAGCTATAGCAGTTCGTTGTCATTTAAACCTGTATAAATTCCAGTATGACTTATGAATTTCATTAGAGGGCTTTTCCATCTTTTAAACATTATGCATTGAACCCACTGACCAAGTTCCTAGTCCCCGCTTCGCTCAAACAATGGAAATCACTAGTTGACTATTTGGATACGAACTTTCATACCACAATTAGTCCTCTGTGAATATCGAATGCATCATTAGCACCAACAAAATAGCCTATCTGCTTTGTCATCAAACATTAAAGCTAGCGGTAGCCTCACTGGTCAGCAAATCAGACAACGTAGGAAGGAAGAGTTATGCCAAGCACTGGTCTACTATGTCAGTCCGATTAGTGGTACTTCACGTAAATGTAAGTGTGGTGAAAATACGAGATAAATTATCTCTGCATTTCACTACCTGGCTAATGATGTACGTGGATGGAACCTCATACGAAAAGCAACCACTCCAATTGATCCGGCAAAATATATGATCCATAGTTACTGAACACACAAGCTTCACACATTTTATAGATAAATTGCTAGGAGAACCTACAGTTTTCACCCCAAAATCTTAGTCGGAGGTTAAGTTGCATCTTAAAATTACTTATTCCGTGACTTCAGCTGGGGACTCTAGTGCATCATTCACAGTTGCTGGTAAGCAGGCGGCTTTTGCCGCGCAATAAAGGAAAAGAGTATCCATGAATGAGAACACACCTAATTTAGGTACTCGGTTTATTTCAAATAAACTTCAGATGGACAATAAACGCCTCACCATCATTCTCACGGTATCACGGTATTCGTCATGATAGATAAAGTTTGCCGATCCAAGCCATACATTTTAATTTAGCAAACTCATTTTGACCACGGCAACAAGGCATGAAAAAATTAAAGTACTGACCGCCTACAGTATAAAGCAATAAAATTTGCAATGTCAAACTCGTTCACTGTCCACGCTAATGACTCCAATCTGTCATCCGAAATAGCTCTAGTGGTTTTCGAATCAGTAAAGATTTGACCACGGTTAGAGAAGGGCAAATGTACAAGAGAGATCAATCATATAGGTGGGCTCAATGGATGCTCGAGATTGCGCTGGGTGTTCACTAGAACGACATGAATGCAGACACTATATAGACAGCTGTGGCGAATTAGCAATCCGGCGTGGATGATCACATACCCACGTGCAGGCGCAAATCTGCCTATTCATTAAACCGGCCAATTTCGCGTGTGAATTGATTGTTTAACGGCCTACGTCTGACATCTTCACCCAACGTTTAAGTAGCAGGTACCTAATGAATCTGGATAGACTGAACAGTCAATAAGCTAGAGCAAATGAATGCAAGTTCGCTGGCGGTTCCAGAAACGCAGAGAACTAAAGCTAAACTCACGGTTTAGTCGTCTACCTAGAACGAAAGTAATATAATTTTGTCGCCTTCCGAAACATTTCTACAAGCATTATTACCCAATATGGTGGTAGGGTCCTAAGCTTGGTAGAAGTAATAAATAAAAAAGCGCAAAACAAGAAATCGCGGAGAATCACTATGACATAGTGTCTTTAAAGTGGAATCAATTATCTACTCAATAATGCCCAGAGCCCTTAAGTTCCTCCGAAATTAAGGAGATTGCCCACTATGCAAAACAACATTCATTGCTAAATTAAAAAATGATGACACTAGTGAAGGAAACACTGCTTGGTGCGACCAATTACATTGTACTTGGCACTATCGGCCACTCGTAAACGTCGTTCGCTGTGAGACTGAACGTATAGCATTAAACGTGTGACCAACTGATCCATGGAACACTCACTCTTGACACTCAAGTAAGCTTTCATACTGAGTACTGATCCAACGTTACTGATCGCGAAGCATTCGTACTGACCTTCATCGGACAACAGAAGATGCTCAAATCGTATTGACCCAGTACCTGGAATGGAAGAAATGGAAAGTTAAGACGAAATGCAAACTGTAGTTTATGTAATTGCAGGCATTTCAGTTCACGAAGCAATCATTGTGTACTAGTTTTGCTGTGGCGGATCATCAGAACCAAATGTGGTTTCCTGCTTCCAGTATGAGTATATGAAATTTATAGGCCAGGTACCATGTTCGCTGTATTTCTATTTATCGTCGTTCTCATTTCAAAGTCTTCCCAATGGCTACTAAGGAATCATTAATGAGGGTTGGAAATCGATGGGTAGACCCAAACGGTGTTGCATTGAATTGGGTAAAGGGAAGTTATCTGCACGGCGCGTGCCATACTGCGTATCAGCTCAAGTTAAAAACCACATTACCAAATCTAGGGAAGCGTATTACAGGTGTTGTCGAAACACGTGCAAAAAATTGGTTCGCTTTGTTATAACGACCAGACGATTCCCTGTTCCTATGAGCTATGAGAGAACAATTCTACCAAAATATGTTATTTCATTGCGTATCCAGATGATTTAATTTGCACGTTTGTGGTTTATCATTCTGGGGTTGTTTGAACAGTCAAGCATAAATTCGGGCCGTCCTCGACTATCAATCGCGTTTCCCGTTGCCGGTGTTGCTGACAGTTCGAATACGACCCCATGGCAAGCTTGTTATATCCGTGTTTCAATGCCGCAGTTTAGACAATCGGTATATCTACTACAGAAATATACCACCTTATCGCTTGTCATCGGCAGTTTCTACTTATCAGCAGAGTTGTGATGATTGGTTGCCCTATGCCCCTTCTCTATATGGTTGACGTCGTCAATGCATTAGTAACTGGAGTCTTGTGAGAAAGCTTGTGAACAAGCTGTAACGGTCAACCATTCAGAGCCAATATCTTTTAATTAATGCTTTCCTGCATCCAATCAAAGCAGAATATCGTCGGAATCCCTTGAACAATTTCACTACCAAACTTATGTTTATATTTGAATTGAACCACCTCAACTAGCTTGGCATAACCTAACTCATATCTGTGTCCATCCCTGGACATCGGACACTGAAACACATACTTCACTTTTATTATTTGGTTTAACATTTTACTTTTTCAGATGCAAATGATTGATTGCGATGTGTTCATGTGCAAGCGTTTGTGTATGAGAAGGTTGTCTAACACTATTGTAATCAGAAAAACAACCCAAGAGCACTGATAGCTATACATACCATTTCATCTTCTGTGTAGTATGCGAGTCTGTAAATGGTTCTATTAGCAGAGGTACCACAGATAGAACGCAAACATTTGTTAACCGTATTTTTACCATTCCACTTCGAACGGTGAACTGCTTGTTTTCTACTAGGAACCTAGTTTTACACACCAATACGCGACACAATCAAAGGAATCTTTAAGGTTTTCCCTTTGGATTTTGAACCCAGCCTATATAAGACAGCGATTTCATCAACCCCTGGCCTGTCGCTATTAAGAGCTAAATCCGGCGCGTTTACAGTATAATTGCTGCCACTGGTTAACACGCATGACACATTTCACTTTGATTTCTTGGGTTTATGTGGGATGTGTACTTTGATTGAAGTTTAGACAGCACACTGCACGGAACCGCCTGTCACATTCTCCTCAATGTTATGGAACTTCTGCTTGGCATCAGTTCGGTTGGAATCATTTGGATTCGCGCCAGATTTTCCAGAACCGTGGTGGTCATCAGATTTTACGTTTCTTGACCATTTATTCATTGGGTCTGAACCAAACAAAACCGGCGAAACTACACGTTAAGTCAACGATAAGCATGGGGTAGTGGGGGTAATAACGCACCGATAATTTTTGGGAGGTGCTATACCTAATAAGTACTGGACTCTTTGTTAGTAGGATTATGGTATATTTGTTGTATGCCCCATTAAGATCATTCGCTTGCGTGTCCTGAAATTTGTTAAATTTTCGGCAGCAGTTGCTAAAGGAAAACAGCATTGATCAGCCGCAACTACTAAATGTCAACTGCCTCACTTGAGTGTCAACATTATTTCACTTTGATGATTTTGTTTTGACATAGACGAATGCTGTAAATCTACACGATGTGGGTCTTGCATGACAAGTCTACCTTCATTAAAATATAAAGTCGAGCTAACGAAGAGAACCAGCAAAACTAAGCGCATAAAATGTGAACGATTAGATTAGTTGGCTATCTTGCATTACAATCGTTGCCCTACTATCAGCGATCCGTCAATATTTCCTGTACCAAATGCATTTAGCGGACGATAACAAAAAGCCACTAAAGTCGCCACCCACTGTCATATATTATTACGCAGAAGAGCATCTAGCTCCATCTGAACACGGTTGTAAGATAGCCATCATTTGAGTTGGGCTGGCGCATTACTATGTCATAACGTAAATGTCAACGCTTTGGTCAGATCAGGTTATAAAGCAAAGAGCATCCTGTTTTTAGAGGTTTATATATAACCATCCTAAAACCTGTGGGAATTTATATATTTATTGTACAGAGAAACCCTGATGGCTTTTTCCTGATTTCGCAATCGATGATTATCTCTCTGATCACAAGATGGCAAACTAGATGTCGGCAACTACTTGCATCGCTCTAGGCATTATTACGATTTAAGTGGTCAGTTGTCCTTAACCTTTGGGAATGAAGCACACATTGTTTCAAACGCTAGTGGCAAATTTAATTATGATATAGTGATAACTACTAGTTTCTCTGGCATTACTGTCCCAAGCGTTATCAATATCAGAACTTGGAACTTTTGATGCGACAATTAAAAAGTAAACATTCTTGTTAGCAAATTTAGCAATCTTTAACCATTAATGTTGTACTATTGCGTCTTTAATAACGACATGGCAGATGTTAATGCAAAACTTCAACTTTTCAGCAAGAACTAAACATACCAAGAATTATGGTGTCGTTTCTCGTCCTTCTGGTTACGAGAGAGGTACGGTTGACAACGCAAATTTGATTTTGCGGGTTATAGAAACTATTTTGCCGTTCATCCGTTGCTACTCCGAGAAGTGCTTACATGATAGACCATGGATGGTGTCTCAAGCAAACGTTCTGTTAGGACGCTCCGAAACTCCATCCTGATGTTTGAAATGACGTTCTATCTTCCGTTCTAGGTCATAGTTACTTATGAGTACAGCAAGGTGCAATTGAGATCGCGCAATATTTATTCAAAATGTGAGCAGCGTCTGTCGCTCTTGTCTACTCTTGACGTACTCATCTCGGTTTAAGTGTTTTCCTTACCTAATGCGACTGCGTCCATAGGGTCAACAGCATCAAAGAATGAGTGACCCATGGGTTCATCCAAAAGCGGGTTCGTCTCTGATCACTTGCTTCCATCTGCACTGCAATGCATCCAAGCCAACGTCGCGATACTTTCCTTTATTGGATCATGTTGAAGTCGTGGCTCATTGTTTTACAACATGGTAGCATACTTTCCGAAATTTTAACAGCTCAATGGTTTGTCAACGAGCTTAGTCGCTTATGCTAAACAGTTGTGGTTCACGGTATGTACATGGGGATGACGGCAGACTTGAGATAGTAGTGTCGTTAGGCGAAGCGATGAGCGTGAATAGAATCTATTCGAAGTGGATGATGCATTTCATACTTAGTTTCTACAGTACATGACAGTTCCATGTTAGGTAGCCCGCGTTTTCCCATTGCCGCAGTTCAACAGGTAATAGTTCCATTACCCTACCTAACAAGCCACTGTTTACAATCGTCGTCAAGCGGACCAATAAAACAGACGTGTTTTCTTTGCTTTTAGACTAAACAACAGACTGTTTGGGAAGCAAACCACAGGGTAAAACGCACATTTACTTGAAATACTGGTAGCATTTTAAAAGGCCGAGCTAAATTATGAGATCCGAGTACCGAAAATTTGAATGCGTGGAAAGATTCAATGCTGATCAGTCAAACGGATGAGTATTGGGGTATTAGACTTGCTAGTCCGAAATTCTACCTGCCTCGGGATATTTAAAGTTGGTGCTAGGTCCTTTTGTGTTTCTAAAAGACACTCTACTCTTTGATTAACGTTCATGGACAACAATAAAATACCCGGTCTCAAATTCTCCATTTTCAAACCAGCTTTGTTTTATCAGTATTTTTAGTTATATAATGTATGATTGCAAGTTGGATCTCAAAACATTCATCTACCTAAGGAACACCGGTACAGTCAAACCAATTACCGCTGTGAGTCTAATAAAGAATACCACTTTAAAATCGTTAAATGGGTGGTACGTTTGCACCGTAATTTACCTTTTTATCTGAATGCCTGAACTATAGTTCAAATGCAGGGGTTATTTACGTGAAGGGGCATTCCGGTCATCCAGATTTTCGAAACATCGCAAAGATGCCAATGATGCCATTCGGTCTTTGTCACTTTCACCATTGAAGTTCAACTTGATATCCACCACACAAACCTGACTCTGATAATTGTTTTATTTGTGTCCTGGTTTACGACAAAACATCTACACAAATTCAATCAATTTGGTACTCGCTGCAAACGTAGACATCCAGCAGGTGAAAAGGCGCCTGCTTCGATGTAGATCCATGTGCATGATATTTTCTACTAAGAAATTTCTATTGTGTCAGTTTTAGTAATATTTGTGTGAAGCTTCAATCCATGCTCTCAATAGTTTGCTTACCAAAAGTGATTATTCGTCGTCCATCAGCTGACAGTGGGACTTCATTCTTGAGCCACACAACTCTAGGAAGTGGATGACCGGCCACCTCGCATTCCATACGGGCAATATCACCAACTGCAGCAGTGGTAGATTGGGGTGGGATCTGAATGACAGGATAGCCTTCCGGGGGATCTGGACAAAGTTACAAGTAAAGGAGGGCTGATATTATCAGTAATACGCTCCTAGTTTAATTTTTGTAAATTGATTCAAAATGCTTTGTACACGAAAAACTGTAAGTTTTATACAGGCACTTCTTACGTACCAAAATTAAAGAAATTAACAGCAAAAATCTACCGTTATATTATTTAGATGTTTCGGATGTTGAGTACCCCTTAATTTAAAGAACCAGTAATATATTCTTGGCAATAGTGAGCGTAAGAACTCTGATGTTGTGTTGAGAAATATAAGTTAACATTATTAATAGAGCCGATTTTCTGTTTATTAGATATCATTTCCATTCGATTTTGCTTACATTGGATCTGGCTTGTTCTGGTAAGATATTCTTGTGTGTTCGTATTTAGTCACAGTGGCCAGCAGCGCGTTTAATTCTACAAAACTTATGATACCAGTCACCACGTCAAGCCTCAAACTGCCCTAGCCTCGTTTCTATATTTACTTTACTCATTAATAAGCACCGTGGTCGAAGTAATGAAATTTTGCTAATTTTAGAGAGTTTAAAGCACGAAACCCAGTCCAACATCTTTTCGATCGTCGTTCCGTAACGGAGAATTAGTGTGATCGTTTAGTAGTATACACACTAAACCTGTAGCAAAAATAACACAATTCCCAAAGTTTTAAGACGCATGGAGTCTCAACACAAAAGATTGTATTAACTAGTGAAAAGGGCAAGCAATTGCCACTAATCTCGTAGCGTTTAATTTTCAAAGTGAAAAAAAGTTGACAAAAATGATATTACCGATGGGGGAACTGAGTTATTCCGGCCGGCTTAGACAACTGGTCGACAACCAAAAGGTCGTCAATTGAAGTTCGAATTTTCCTGCCACCATGTTTCCCAAGTAACCCATAAGACAAAACAAAAATGAACGATAAAAGACAAGTGGCGTGAGTCACTCTTCTGAATATTAGTAACTATTCTTAATTGTTCATTCTCCTTCGCTGCCGCATACTCTGTCAGATGCTTCAATAACAAGGTAGTCATTTCATTCACAAAGAGAGTTGCATTGCCTAGCCTTCATTAAACGTTTTAGCAATGCTTATGTTCTACACAAGCAAGTGTTGTGTCGGGGATTTATAGTAGCAAATTCATATGCAAAAAATGGGTTAGAGGTTGGCAAATATTGACTGTTGGACGAAAACACTATTAAACAACCAAGTCAATGATCCACGTAAGCAACCGCGATACTTGCACCCTATCCACTGGAGACTTATCTGCACGTTCAAATTGATTTCATCCTTTATATATTCTGAACCCAGGATTACAAACTGGGAGCTCAAATACGTGGTACTATTTGACATTACAATGGTATGAGTGTTCAACCGCTTACGTTTTCTTACTAAGCGTTAACCATAATATTCGCAAATTATAATGATACGGGACTATATATTCATTAAGTGCTCCTTGTTGTTTAGCAAGTTAAGTTAAACCCTCTACTTTAACCTATTTTGGAATGGAATTTTTAATAACATACACTATCATGGCTCTTTCGATGAACTTAGCGCAAATATGGATCGTTAGTCTTGTCTTTTCAGTTCTTAATCGAACATGTTTCCATTCGCCTGATATACTTCCATATGGAAGATGAAGTTTTTAGAGCAGAGACCAAAAGTTCATGCGCTATGCCATGCTGTGCCTCATTTAATGCTTACATGCATTGAGTTTAGTTGTTCTAGACCACCAGGTAGATTTATGATCATATCAAAACGATGTAAGTAGGGAGTTCACCCAATATTTCTTGAATAAATCGTGTTGTGTGAGCATCCACTCAGATCTCTTTAAAGAATTAACCGTTTGTGAAATTCCTGGCGGAAGTTGTATATGACGAGGGACTACATGTATTGTGGGTTGGGCATTGCCGGCGACTTCTAACCATAGGAAACTTTGCTATCACACTTCAAATAGCATGTCCATTAAGAGCTGGATACTTGGGAATAAATGCAGCTAAGACATTTCGGTCGAAATTAAAGAATCCACTTAATCTTGCTAACTACTGCAGCAGTATAAGTATAGTTTTTGAATAAATGTGTACAGTAACAATTCCAACAAACTGGTGCAAGGTGAAATTTGTTGCACATTTTGAAAGGTACTAGCAGATTTTGTAAGCGAATTACCAACTTTAAGCCGTAAAAATATTACCTATTGACTAATATCCGTTTGTTAAAGTGTCCCATGTAGAAGGATTTACTTGTTTACAACCAGTTGAACACCATCAGATGAAGTCATGAATCGTACTTGTTTAATCCTCAAAGGCAGACGAAGATGCTTAATACCAAACTATCAATATTAAACCAATGCAAATTTCCCTCTGGCTTTGTAGACACCACATAATATTGGTCGGCTCAGAACCTAATATTTAAAGCTCATCTAGGGATCGAATTCTTCGCGAGCTTTCCGTAGCAATAGACTTTCTTCAGTGGGTCGTTGCATGTTTTTACACAAATTGTTGACACATGCATTTAAGGTGACCTTTCAATATTTTCTTTACATAGATCACAAGTGAACAGACAGACTTACCCATGTTTACATCGTACACTACTAAGTGGGCGCTGGCGCTATCCCCTCCCACGTGATTTCGAGCTATACACTGTACTTGTAATCCGTTCTGACTGCGATGTGTCTTAGTGAGGCGCAGCAGACTTCCATCAGGAATTGGGACACTGGCGCGAAACAAAGGTTGGTTGATGGTTCGATCGAGCAGAAAATTGACCGTCGGCGTCGGGTTGCCAGTGGCCCGACAGAAAAACAACGCGGTTTCACCAGCTATCACTTTTACATTGGCCGGTGGTTCAATGATTTTTGCAGGACCTGAATAGAGAGTTTGAATACACGGAATTATCGGTATTTAGATTATCAGCCAAAACTGGTTCAAGCTATACAGAACCTGAAGCCGAAAAGTTTACTTAACACACGTCAGTTTGACACCGCTCGAATATCCAACAGATGCTATATATTGGATATAGCCGAAACATGAAATAAAATTAAATAAATAACTAAAGTTGACAAGCATGGAAAGGAAGCGATGCCTTCGTCACCATTCTGCGCTTTTCAAATTGTTACAGGAAACTAATTGCTTTAAATAAATATTAAGTATATTTCTTGATACAGCGAAAATGGTGACTTACATCTGCCTTAATCTGCCTGCGTGATTCAGTAGGCTGCATTGTTAACTTTTACACTTGACGATCGATTTTGCATCTTAAGGAGTATACTAACAGCAGGCTCGACTCTAGAAGTGTGAATCAAGCAATTTTTAATGTCATCCGCTTCTACAGGTCCAAACGCATTAGTGATATTCTTGCTTGCCTCCTCCAGCGGAAACGTGGGAAAATGTTACAGAGTTACCACACGGTGGTATCACAGAAGATGATGAATTCAAACAAATTTGAATTGAGTTGTCTGTTAAGAATTCTGTGCTCCAGACGTTGCTGGTTCTGCCTTCAACATAGTCTAAAAGTTCTCTTATAGCATAGATGAGGCCACCGGAGTTGTCCTTATATTTTGCTTCTAACCACTACTTATAGAAGCTATTCCCTGCCCTCATACGAAGTGGTCATTTAAACGTACATTTACCGTTTAAAGGGGACTTTAGGATTATGTAGTTGATCACTTGAAAATAAAGTCGTCACGCTCGACAGTAAAAATGGAGACAAAGATGAACTACGCTGGGATACGCGAACGCGTTTTTGACTAGAATTTATAGGTTCTCATCCGGAATTTAATGTGTAAATGGATTTAAGAAAACACATCAGTATGATCAAACTTATGTGCTTTAGCTTCCGTTTATTTTTACAAATACAGCTCATACAGTGGGCGTTCATTAAGTGTCCGCTTGATGCGTCGACTCACGTTTGATATATAGAATAAGTTCCTCGAGTTCCCCTGTATAAACGGTGTCTAAACCAGTTAAAATGCCATGTTTTACATCCATTTCCGTTAACGTTTCCGGGTGCTGGTTCTGCAGATGGCGTCCTGCAAACGCGGTGACGCAATGCGTAGGAAGCGGCAAATTCATTGTGGGTTGTCGATAGCACAAACTTTATGCATTCCACCATAGGTTTTCACGACATTAAGCATGCGACAATTGGCACAATTAGTAGCAACTAAAGAAACATGCAAGCCGTTTGTCTGTTTTCTAAAATCTAAAAAGATACATGCGAGTTGAAAAGCATAACATTGTTGTTGTTCCTTCACAAAGTCACTCCACTTGAGAGCTATTTGCTAAGCCGTTTGAGCACAAGACCACTTGAGGCGGATAAGCTAGCTACCATACTAAGTGTGGGTCCATTTTCTAAAACATTTCAGTGTAATGTTCAGAATTTTTATTGGAAATCGATAATTTTGGTTTCTACGGCATTGAGGGCACCCAGGCATCTTAAATACTCATTTACCAAGATTCTGATGGACAAATTTGGTTGCTAAGGCAATGGGCAAATCTTCACTCTAATACCTATACGTTGGTAAGATGGTTGATGGAATTTTATGGAATATAGCGGTATTATTGTGGGTTAACTCAGACGAAAACAACAAAGCTACGCTACTGATATACACATCCCTGTTCTGATATACGTATACCAATATAGTTTAGGTAAGAATATTGTACGAATTGTCATTCTGGCAAGTACCTTCACACGTTGCTCTTAATCAGCTGCAGCTTGGTTCTCAGAGTATTTTGTTAGTTTGTCGTGTTTACGGATATTAATCAGGACTAGAAATCGGTCAGATTTCCAGGTGTCAAAGCATTCATGCAGACAAAACAGTTTGCAATCAGCATTCAACAGCTTATTCCGTGCGTGAAGCCAGTATTGCGAGACTGTTTGGTGACGTTCAATTGACAACCAATGGCATCAGTCTGGATATACCTTCACGTCAGTTCTGACAATGCGTTGGGCACCGGCGCAGCGCTTTCACCAAAGCGTATCTATCAACAATTCATTATGCACAGCTGTAGCTGTGCTCTATATTTTACGACCACAAACTTTCCACATTATGTGTTACTGGTGGTTATTGAGGTATGAAGACACCAAAAATAATCCGGCTGTTCTTATAGTGTCAGTTCATGCTGCATGAAAATAAAGCGTAGACCTCAAAACATCTATTCGTTAAAAGTTTTGAGGAATCTTCACGTCATCAAAAAGATGGATTTACTGGTTTTATGAGTAGAAAAGCAGTAACGGACAAATCCACTTGTAAATAAATAATATTTAGGTTTGTTTACAGCACACTATAATCCCTAGTAAGCGTTCGAATTTATCACAATCCTGTACGGTATGCGTTGATGACGGCGCTAATTCGTTAGAAATTCAGTAAATAGCTCTAATGATTATGACAGATGAGCCGCACTTTAATTAACGCTGAATGCCATTCCCAAAGCAAATGCTTTCCTAGATTAAACATGTGTATCGCTTTTGTCATTTCCTAGTAGGAATTCAGCGACAACAAACATATGCCGCTCTGTTTGATCCCCTAACTCTGTATGTATTCCAAATTGCACAAAGGGCACAATTTCGTGTAATGACAAGTCAGCAAGGATATGTGGCCGTACTTATTGACGGCTGACAGATCAGATAGCGTACTGTCGTTAGCGTTTTCCTGACTGAATCATAATTATCCACTATGACAAACAAAAGAGATGGCAATTTCTCGTGAACAGGTAGTTTGTAAACGTAAGTACCACAGTGATTCCACTCAATGCTTTCCGCATTAAGTGATCGTACTTCATGATTGCGGTCCACGTTGGACAACACTACTGGCGATATGTTAAAGACAAGTAGTAGTAGTAGGGACACCATTTCCGCGGCTGTCAGGATCTAGCGACTTGTAATCATATAGTTCACACTAATTTTCGGTAACAATAGGCCATCAGTTACCTACGCTTCACCTCAGTTCGATCGGAGCCACTGTAGGGAAAATGTAATTTCCTTTTGCTCATGTATTCTCAGGAATGAAATGTTTGCCTTTGCAGATTTTCGGAAAGAAAAACAGTGATGGGGGGACATTGCGGTTTTGGGATTTCAACATAATCAGCACACCTGACCAGTTGAGCAAGTCTTGTAAGTCTTATGATTATAACGTATGGTGATTCAGGCTCATGGAAAGTTAGTCCTCAGAGTCGTATATCTTAAATGTTTGCTAGCTAATGTAGTTGTGACCTTGGAGTAGCTGATAAACCTGTAACTAATACCCTGTGTCTGTGAAGTTGAACAAATCAAGAAAACGTGGAGGTGAGGCTGTTTCAACTACCACTTTGAAGCCTAAGGTTAAGCGAATTTAATATAAGTGTCATAACCGAACGCAAAATGAAGTGCATAGTTCAGAAAGGTATGAAACAATTGTTCGGTGTATTGCTTCCAAACTTCTCTGAAATCATAAGTTCATGATCGTTTCTAGTTGTGTTCCAAGATCTCCAAAATGAAAGCAAGTTTGAACCAATATTTCACGGCATATAATTAAGCGAAGTTAACCTCCATTACATATTAACTTATCATTGTACAGCAAAAAGTTGCAATGACATCTACGACCATTTCAATTAATAAGGGCAGAGCTAATTTGAAACTCATTATTACAAATGAATGATGAATAATGATTTATAACGGTTAAATAGCGAGCGTCTGAAAAAATCCGTATGAGAACCGGAGTGAGGATTGAAAACCAAAGATAAAATTATAGCGAAAAAATTTTCTGTTTTAGAGCAACTGTCAAACTATTTATGTGTACACTGATGCTGGTTTCCACACCGCTAGGTTAAGGAGAGTGTGGGTAAGTACATGGTATATTTCGCGTCCTTTCGTCTGTCGACTGAGGTGGACTTTATCACCTAATGCAAATGGGAGAGCGTATCGTCAGGGCACCTTTTGGAAAACGTTATTATAAGGGAGGAATAAAGTGTCTTGCAAGAGCGTTTCATGTTCTTGAGGAGCAAAGAAATGTTGTCGGCAATCAAGTCGACTTTAGTAGTTGGCCTGTTTGAGCTGGTGGTCTCCACAGCTAGTATGGTATCTTAGTTTGAATAGGGTTCGCTAGTATTAGTTGCACAATGACGAGGTCTCCTTATTGACGCCAAAATTTCACCGCTGTATAAGTCAATGGCTAGCAGTCTGAGTTGGTAACGGGGGTGAACAATTTCCCAACGATTGCGTTCGCCATGCACGCACAGGGGCAGTAATCTATTCATGACATTAGCTGCAATAACGAATACGTGTGTTAAACCTAGGGGCAGCGTTAGTTGTATCAAAGGTAGGGGAGGTGCTGATCCACTCTGGAAAGTTCGAGAAAGTTGTTGGTAAAGCTCACTGGCCAACTCCTAGGTAGCTAGTGCCAGATCTCCTGCCGCACATAGAACTTGGGTTCCGTGATGCATTCTGAGGATCTTCCTAAAGTGCCTGCACAACATTTTAGGGTTTGATCGCAAAATCTCGTTACCGATTCAGTTTGTCTTTATGGACCCTTTCTCCACAGTGGCTTTGTTGAGTTATCTAGGCATCCCACGCGTGCAAGCTCAAACAGGTCGTGTAAGCGCGCATGCTGAATCCCTTGAGGACATGCGTCTTCGTGTCTAACTTCTCAGGAAGCAATTCATTTGGTTCATTTGGTTTCCGAGACATTTGTAACTAGCCCGATGAGTCTATTGACAAACTTCATTCAGAGGACATTAGTGGCTGATCGACTAAGAAAGACTATTTGGTTCCTTGAACGAGGTCAGATAGCAAATCGTTTTGAATGAGGATGTTGTTACTGATGCATTCCGCCTAGTACGTGTAAAGGAAGATCGGCGTCGCAAAATCGCCATGGTCAAATGGTACATCCGTGGTTGTGGTATGGACCATCTGTTCCTCGTTGGTGATCACGTGGTCTAAAACAGATGGTTCGTCAACTGTTCCGAATGGCTTGGTAATGGTAACCATTGTTTGCTAGCGGTAGATCAAGAATAACCTGTAATTCCGTCTTGAACTCTTTACTAAATGAAGTGAGGACATTGATTGCATAGACTTTGAAGTTGCCACAAGAAGGACGCAAATATAGTTGCGTTCCAGGACTCGTTCCAGGACTCGATTCATAGCAGAACCTAGGCAGTGATCCATTTCCAAGGTGGATATTTGTGGGTTGAAAATCACTGTTAGAAAATACACCTCCACTTCCCATTTGAGGACGGTACTAAAGCAAATCAGCATCTTACCTTTCTGGATCGTTTATAATACCAATAATTCGGTGAGCTCGGCAAGACAGGATTTTTCCTCCTCCTCTGCCGTATCGATCGTTTCGAAGCAGGCGCATCCTGGTTAGAGCTACCTCAAATATTTCAGCTATCACAGGGATTTTAGTATTCACCCATGTTTCGCTTACCATGTGGATTTCCCAAGGCGTTTAGCTGAAGGTCCTATAACTTACTGAGCAGAACTTGTGCGTTGGCATATGATCAGGTAAGGGCTTCAAAGATTAGAAGCGTGTTTGTGAATACAATTTCCAGGTGACCTTGTATGCTAAACTTTGTTTGGAAGGCATTCAGCAGATTTTTTTGAACCAATGCACAGGCCCGGGTGTCAGCAGGTAACTGACAACCTAGAAGTCATTCAGTTGTTGGAATGCTTTGATACTGTCGCGGTTAGTAGCCTAATGCTGACGGGGTCACGCACGAGGCTTGTGTATCCAGTGTTATCTTGTTTATTTGCAGTCAAGTGGTCGTGGACTAAAGGCGGACGCTACTGCGCCAGTTATCAGTAGCATGAAGTGTCAGGATGTGAAACAGCAACCAGTAAACAGCAGGCAGTAATTACTCTCACAAGAAAAATGAACACTTTGATACCACAGTTGTATGCGCACGAAGAATGGACGCTTAAGCAGTGCACACCGCATAATCACTAGACACAGAAAGAAACCCGCTTTTTGCAACCTCTAACAAAGAGTGGGAATATGAGTGAATGACTATTTGCTCAGAACTGATGCACTTAGTAGAAGCTATGTTTGGAACCATAGACATCAGCTTACATATCGATTCCATCGGGATGACCATTTCTA